GGAAATCACATTTGACCCAACTATTCTGCTTCTAGGTATATTTCCAGAACTGAAAGCATCATACCACAGTGATACATGTACACCTATGTTTATAGAAGCACAATTTGTAATAGCCAGATCTTGGAAACAGCCTAAGTGCCCATCAACTGAGGAATAGATAAAAGGGATGTGGTACTTTTACACAATGGAATACTACTCAGCCATTGAGGTATACCAATGAGATATAAATACCACATTGAGGTATTTATAAATAAATGGACGCAACTTGAGACCATACTCATAAGTGAAACAAATCAAACTCACATGCATAAATACCATTTAGTCTCCCTAGTGTAAGAAATGGTAAGAGTACATAAGATTTTATGGTAATCATGGTTCATCATTATATTGCTTTGAAGTCTTATAATGTTTTCATTAATTGGCTAGAATGGTTTTATTCTGTTTTATTTGACTTTATTATGTGTGATGGTATAAACAGCTACTTTGAAAAAAACAATTATGACAGCCATTGCTGATTTAATATCATCTAGAAGTCTACCATGCTTTTGTTCTTCTGTTTTCCATTGGTTCTACGATATTGTGTCTTACTGGATTTTATTATGTGTGATAGTATAAACAAATTTTTTAAGGAAAATGAGATATTATAGTAGCCATTGTTCATTATCAAGTCATTTGGTTTTGAATGTTCTGTAATACTATCATTCTCTCGAATGGTTTTATACTATTTTGTATTTTTGATACTATTGTGTATGAAGGTATGCTCAACTATTTCAAAGAAAAGAGAGATTACAGTAGCTACTATTGATTACTGGTTGTTTTGTCATGAAGTGCTGTGTTGCTTGCATTGTTTTGTTCTGATTTGCTTTGTTCCTTTCTCTTTTGTTTTATTCTCTTTAAAATAAAAAAGAAATTATATATTAAAGTTACTGTGATAAAAACAGTGTTGTATTAGCAAAGACAGACCTGACAATCAATGGAGTATACTTAAAGTTGCAGAAATAACTGCAAACTAAGCTATCTTATCTTTAACAAGCATTCCCAACAGATTCACTGGAAGAGAGATAGTCTCTTTAATAAATGGTGTTGGAAAAGCTGGCTTTCCACATTCCAAAGGTTAAAACTGGACTCACATCTTTCACCATATACAAGCTAAAATCAGGACGGATTAAAGATCTTAATAGTAAAGCAGAAATATTAAATATTCTGGAAGATAAGAGTAGGTAAAACTCTTGAATACAGTAGTGTAGGCAAAGACTTTATGAATAAAACCCAGAGTCCACAGGACTTATCGCGAAGAATCAACAAATGGAACTGCATCCTACTGCAAAGCTTTTGTGTAGCAAGAGAAACTACCAACAGAGAGAAGAGACAACCCACTATATGGGAGAAAATTTTTGCAAGCTATTCCACAGATAAAGGATTATCAATGAGAATATATAAAGAACTAAAAAAAAAAAAAAAAAAAAAAAAAACAAAAACCAGTCCTCCCAGACTTAAAAGATCCAATCCAAAAATGGGCATCTGAGATGAACGCACACTTCTCAGCAAAAGAAGTACAAACAGAAAATAAATACATGGAAAAATGTTCAACAGACTGGTCATTCAAGAGATGCAAATTAATACACCTCAGAAAGAATGGGGAGTATTAAGGAATCAACCAGTAACAAATGCTGGCGAGGCTGTGAGGGAAAAGGAATCCTTCATTGTTGGTGGGAATTCAGACTGGTGCAACCACCATGGAAATCATTCTGGAGATTCCTCAAAAAGCTAGGATTGGAGATCCCATCCAACCTAGCTATTCTGCTTCTGGGTATCTTCTCAAAAAGAGTTAAAAACATCATATCACAGCAATATATGTGCACCCATGTTTACAGCAGCCTAAATGCCCATTTACTGAAGAATGAATAAAAAAGATGTGGTATTTTTATATGGTAGAGTACTATTCAGCAGTAAAGAATTGATAAACTGGACATTTTTATAGATAAATGGATGCAACTTGAGAATAACGTATTAGTGAAATAAATATGTCACACAAGTATAAACATCGCTTGGTTTCATTAGTATAAGGAAATAACATGTATTTTGCCCCAGAGAGAAAGACTTCAATCAAGCAATGACTCGAACCACATCTGCCTGTACTTTAATCCACTGTGAGCTATTTTCAGTTGACTTTTGGATGTTTTAAGAAATTTTTGCTATAAGGTTTGGGTTTTTTGCATATGGATATCCACTTGTTCCAGTATACTTATTGAGGGTACAATCCTTTCTCCACTTAACTGCTTTTGCATCATTGCCAGAAATCAATTGTGTGCTATGTGGGTGTCTATTTTGGGACTTTATATTGGTACTTTGCTGGTTTTGTCTACCTTGACATATCAATGCCATTTTGTCATGATTGGTGTCACTTTGTGATAAGTCGTGGGATTAGGGAAGGTTGGAGCTCTAATTTTGTTCCTTTATCAAAATTGTTTAGACTATTCCGAGTCTTTTCTATTTCTACAGAAATATAAGAATCAAAATATTAATCTTTATGAAAAAGATGTTGGCAGTTTGATAAGGGATTGTGTTTTTTGATCTTTATTTTCTTGTATTCATTTTTGGTTTTACTGTTTCATTTTTAATTTCTCAAAGAACAATATGAGGAATTTCATAACTTTCTTCTTTTCTAATAAATGTACTTTGTGTTAAAAAATTATATATCCCTAGAACAAGACAGTCATCTGATAAATGATTAGAAATAAAAATTTATAAATTAGCAGTTTATAAAGTGAATTTATCAAAATCAGTAACTTTCCCATTTACAATGAGCTAAACACAATACAGAAGATAATATTCATAAAATAGCTAAAAGATTACTCAGAATAAATGTAACAATAAAGTAAAATAAAACAATAAAAGAAAATCTGAAAACACTGCTGAAAGATATAAAAAAGGATCTAAATAATGCAGAAAGTATGTACCTGTCCTTGGATAAGAAGACTCAGTATTTTCAAAGTATCAATTCTTTCAAGACTGATGTATAAAACTTAACATCCCTCCAAAATGACAAGAGGCTATTTCTGGGAACCAATACAAGCTGATTATAATCTTACTTGGAAAAAACACACTAGCGTAGCCAAAAAATTATGAAGAAGAGGAAAGGTGGGGACAATAAAGCTCACCAATTATTAAAACATTATATGGCTATAGCAACTGAGAGTTTGGTAGTGGCACACAGTTACACAGATGGGCTAATGAAACAAAAAAAGATAAAAAAAAAAAAACCCAAACACACAAGGTTTTAGTATAATAACATAGGCTGCATTTCAAATATAGTAATACAGGTTGTATTTTATTATTTAAGAATGTTGAATGTCACAAATTTAATGACAAAATAGAAATAGTCAACTGGGAAAAAATATTTTCAACACATATACACAAGAATTATTTCCCTTAACACAGAAAGAATATTTATAAATCAACATGGAAGAAAACTAATAGTCTAAGAGTGGGTAACAATATGAATAGTTTAAAAGAAAACAGAAATTACTTTTAACATATGAAAAGACAGTCAACCTTATTAGTAACTTAAAAAATGCAAATTAAAATAGCAACAAAAATATCATTTTTCATCTTACAAATTAGCAAAGCTCATAAAGTTTGGTAACATAAAATGTTGGAGAAGATGTAAGAGACAACTCCCAAAAATCTCTGAAATCTTTAAAATCTCACAGAATCAAAAAAGGTATGCATCCTTTAATCTACTTTACTTCAGGTAGCAATACAGACAAAGATGTAAATACCAGAAACCTCCAAACTCGTAGAAGCAAAAACCCGGAAATAGTATCAACATTCATTATAAGAGGGCTGGTTTTAAAAAGTACAATATATCCTTATGATGAAATAATCCAGTTACTAAAATGAAAAAAGTGACTTTATGTGGGCTCATATGGAATATTTCCAAGACAAGTTAATATAACAAGAGAATATATCAAATTGAAAAGGTACATGTGGTATGTTCTGTTGGTGTATAAACAGGCAGGGAGTCTAAGGTGCATATACAGATTATCTCTGAATAGTTCTGTAAGAAATTACTCATAGTAGTTTTCTTTAAGGAATAGGACTTACTTTTCACTGCATAGAATGTATGCTCTTTAATGTACAAGTAAATAGTATATTCAAATTAGAGAATAACATGTCCTCAACAGTAGTCTATTCTCCAACTGTCTCTTACTTCAATTTATCTGCAACAATGGGTTTAATTAAATTTTAAAGTTTTATACAGAAGACCTTAGTATGATTCTCTATATCTTAAAAAACTAAACAAAGGTAGCTTAGCTTATAGTAAATCATATGAAATTTTGACGCATAAAATCAGTAAATTTGCAGTCTCATTTAAATTGTACTGTGTGAGCCGAAAGATCAGTGGCTACTCCACTTAGCATTGTGGCAAATCACCTATCTTCTCTGCCAGGACTCACTACATTTTCTATAAAATAGGGAAGACAGCATAACCTCCCTCAAAAATGCTGACAGTTTTAAATAGAATAACATGTTCACAGAACTTAGCAAAACACCTGACACACAGTTAAGCAAACATAAACATCAGATACTATTACAAAAGCAACAGCACAACAGCCTCATCATTGCCACTCTTGCCGCTGTTACCACCACCTCTGCCAACACTGCAGAGGCATTTCATCCAGGCCTCCACAATTTACTTTGTAGAACATGTTAAAATTAAAACATCTGATATCTAAAATTTGATAATACCACAAAATACCGTATCATTCACAATGTAGTATTTATCAGCTACATAAAGGTTTTTAAGAAGTTGACAGTTCCCTAATAAGGGGAATAATCTTCGATTCCCTTAAATGCTCTCAGATGACTTGAAAAATCAATGTTTACATTTATTAGAAATCCAGCATAGAAAACTTTTATAAGAAAATCACTTTTTCCCTTTGCAGTAATCAGCAATACCACAATGAGAAATGAAGAACCAGCATATCAGAACTTACCTAAGGGATGATCAGCATAATCCGGTCTTTGAATATAACTTGGAACTGGCCTTGTTGGCATCTAAAAATATTGAAAAGATTATTAAAACCTAGTCACTAGTAAAGAAAATAAAACTGGGAAAATTAAAAACTCAATAAAATGTTTTTAAATGAAAAAAGTTTTAAATGCCATATTAAGTATTAAAGCAGATCTCTATTTCATTAAAATTAAGCCTTATATTCCTAGAGCAAAATCACCCATTATTTAGGAGGCTTAAAAGAAAGAAGAATAATCAAGGCCTTTGATGACTAGATTAGCTTAGATTAGCTGTAGACTACAAAGTACTAGTGTTGTACCAAAAGCACTGGCAAGCTGACAACAACAATAAAATATATCACCATATTTCTAGTCATTATCTCTAGGAAGGAGAATTAAAGAGACTGTCTTAGGAATTTAATATATTTCTAAAATTTTAAAAGGGAAAAGGAAGTCATCAGTAAAGAGGATTTAAATATTTAAGGATAAGAATCAAATTTCAACTTAATTGAATTCCTACTAAAACTTTTTCACACTGGAAAGGACAGAAGTGGCTCCAAAGACAGTTATCAAGGTACAAATGCTACTATATTTTAAAAATTTAGAATATATACTAACTCATGCCAGAAAGAAAATAACTACTACACTTTACACTACTGTTTTAAAAAGTAATAGTTTTATTCTTTTCATTGAAAAAGTTCTCCACTTCTTCCATGATTGTTAATTATTCCAACTAGCTTCCAAACAATGCACCATTAAGAGCTAGAGTGCAAGTTCCTTTATAAAAGTAATCCTGTTCCATGATTCACTATTGGTATATAAATTACAAGAATTACTTGCTGTAAACTCAAAATTGTTTTTTAAAAAATGCTAAGTTCTTATTACATTATTTACTTACCAGTGGATAATGTGGTCTAAGTTTACCAGTGTATCGATAACCTGCCCATGGGTCAGTGTTAATATCACCTTCGACAGTCCAGGAAGACACTTCTCGCTTTGCCTTTTCATCTTCTGGGGAACAGATAAATGAAAAGATATGAAGGGAACCAAAAGAAGAGAATGGAATGCTTCAGTGACTAAGCAGTACACTATTCTCTCCAGTTTAAAATTAAATCCACCCCAGGTGCAAGAATCCAGCACATTCCCACCCTAATCTAACAAAGCTACTATTTTATGTCTAGCATGTTCACAATCCTTACAATCTCTCAGATGTCTAAATGTCTAAATCAGATGTCTAAATCCTTCTAAATGTCTTAGAAGAAAAAACATAATTGGAATAGCTCATAGCTCAATGTTAAATGTGTTCTCTCTTCAATTTATATGAAGTTCATTTTAAAATATGAATTCCACTTTCCCAGGTGGAATTATATGTAATAAATGAATGCCAAGAGGAGATCCCAAATTACGTCAAAGCAAACTTAAAATCAAAAATAATTTCCTAGTTAGCCAATGAGTGTCTTTTAAATCCTTATCTCAAACTGCTTTAAGTTTTTTGAATACCTTTTGCCTGTTTTAAGAAGGGAATACGAGGAGAGAAAGGGAAAAGAGAGAAAGCAATCTGTTGAAAGTTACTGAAAATTCAGAGAAAAATGTTATCACAGGACTGAGGATACAGTTCAGCCACATAAGCACCTGCTTGGCAAGTGAAAGATATTGAGTTCAATTCCTGGTACCACAAGAAAATGTAATCACATGCATACCATTATGTAAGTTATTAATACATAATAACTGTGTTTAATGAAATGCATTAAATGCAAAAAACTAAAAATTTTTTTTAGAGAGAGTAGGCCCTCTGTGGTACAATTTCAGCATACAAGTCACACCTATTCCTTACAAGTACATCCTAAGCCAAGTACAGATCCACAAACTTCCCAGTGCACATAGTTCTGCTCTTGATGACTTCGAAGTAATTTTAGACATACATGAGAAAAGTAACACTCTTTTAACGTATTCAAAATATGGAATGATATGTGAAGTCTTGGGTTCAATCCTTAGCATGACCAAAGTAGAGAGAAAAAAGGAGGGGGCCCGTGGGAAGGGGAGGGAGAAATGAGGAAAAAGAGGGAGTGGCTGTCTAGATGAAATCATATAATTTTAAACTAGAAAGGCTATTACAGAAAATTTAATTCCCTTATTTTACAGATGAGGAAACTGAGGTAATATGAATCACAGTCAGTGATTCAAGAATGCCAGTTCCCAATCCAATGAACTTGTGCACATCTCCAGATCAAAAGGTCACTGAAGCACACAGCTGACAAAGAATGCAAAAACAGAGCCAATCTATTACTTTGGAAGATAATACATTTATACCATCGTATAAATAAAAGAAAAAAGGAGGTGGTGTTGAAGAAAGGGAAAGGAGGGAGGAAAAAAACAAGTTATAATATGTACATGTACAGGTACAAATTCTCTATGATGAATGTGATCATTACATATACCTAAAACGTACCAGTAAGGGCCAGTGGCATAAATGCCTGCTTGGCAAGCACAAGGTTGTGAGTTTGAGCCCTGGTACCAAACAACAACATAACATAGCATAGCATAACATAGCATAGGCATAGCATAGCATAGCATAGCATAGCATAACATAACATGTGCCAATAAAACTACTAACCGAAAAAATAAGGAAATTCTACTATGTTACTGAATTTTAAATATCCTTTTCCCCTCTGTAGTTCAAGAAAATCACTGTGAATGTTAATGTCAATACAAAAACTCTTTTATCATCCTAGGACAAAAATGGACTACATTCCCTGCCACTAGGATCAAACAAAGAAAATTGTTCAAAATGCCTACTCTGGCTGTGAATCATATGATATAATTCTGCCTTAAACACAAATTTTAAGAATAATTTTCTCCTGAAATCTAGGGCAGAAAAGCTATCAAGATTCAGATTTTTTTGTTTTAACATATGCCTGGGAAGGAGGCAGGGAGACAGAAAACATGTAAAATCTTTCAAGGCTGTTGATCTACATTCCTTCCCTCCCATAATCTATTTTCAAAAGAGAATTGAAAGCAGACATGGAACAAACAACAATAGCCCCAAAGCTATCTACACAAAGCTGCAATACTGAACAAGGTCTTCTCTAATCTTTAAATATAATTTACTTACGGACAATCTACACTTGAAAAGTGAGCCCTAAATGCTAGACATATATGAAAGGCATCCAATATATCTGAACTAAGCTGAGGCTGGTAGCAAAACTGCATTAATAACTGATCTTTTTAAATAACTGTGAAAGCATGGGACATTACAAGAAAGCATCTGTAAGCTACCTTTCGTATACCACAACACAATAGGCCCAGGTTAGATACAGGTCATGCCCAAAAGCCGGAATTCCTCTGACATTGATTCACGCAAGGTTTGGCTCAAAGTATCTTGCATGTAGCTTTATTCTTTAACACCTTCCTCTAGTCATGTAAGGTAACCACACATGTCTAAACCTGGCCTGGGACAGGATTATCTGAATAATGAGATTCTTCTTTAACGTTTTAAGGTCATATTTTTGGCTAGTCAAAAGATACGTCAAATTCTTCCATCTTTTACTTCAGGAAAAAAGAAAAACCACTTTATAAGTAACATATTAACTGGTACAGAATACAATGGTCTTGAGACTGGAAGTACTACAACACTCAGATCAGATTAAAAGCAAACTACTTATGCATACTCTGCTGAAAGATCCACTATAAAATAGACGCACCCAAACATATACGTGTTTTTAATTAAGGACTTTATGCTCTGATTAGTCTTCTTCACTATAATATATAAATTCAATTCCTAAGTCATTTAGTTAACTGATACTTGAAAATTTCCCAAAGTCTATGCAAAATGTTAAGCTTCCAAAATTAAGAAAACTCCAGGCCCAGATTTTTTACTATTAAACTCCACCAAACATTTAAGGAAGAACTAATAAAAATACTGTCTCTTCCAGACAAAAGAGGAAGTATTTTCCAATTTTATTTTATGAAACTAGAATTGCTCCAGTATTAAAACCAAAAACATTAAAAGCAAATTATGGACCAATAGCCCAAATGAACATAAATATACATCAGGTATTTCAGTCAGTGATCAATATACGCTACATTAAAAAAAAAGACTGAAGATATCACCTTCATGGTGAGAACTGCTTGCTATGTCATGACACTATTGTCTCTTAGAACAAAGTACCATCTCTTTAATATGGTCAACTTCCTTCCTAGCCCAACACTCTTTCCCTAATGCTTTTCTCAAAACTCTTCTAGGCCAGGGATTTAACTCAGCGATATAGGCACCTGCCTTGCAACCGCACACTCGTGAGTTCAATCCCCAGCCAAAAGCAAAAAACTCTTCTAACAGAGATTGCCCTTCCTCCTCACAGCACCTTTCTCTATGACTGTCCTCAGAACACTGTACTTTGAGACAGTTTGTTAGAATGTGAAAGATACAGGCCTGGCCAGCTGAGAGCTCTCCCTAACCAACAGGACTCAAAGAAATTAAGGACTTTGGCTTAAGCAATGAAGAAAATCAACCCCCAAAAGATCCACAAGAACACCACCTAAAAGATGGCACCACACTACGCACCACAAGTATAAGTAAACTCCAAATCAGTAGGTCCAATGCTGCAATAATTACACATTTTTACATAAAGAAAACTTCCTATTTAATTTCCTTGTCATGTAAGTAAAAATAGTTATTTCTACCCTTAGAAATTCAGTACTTGCAAAACAAGTACACTTTGGGGAATTGGCAAACTTAACAGTCCTAAGTTCTTTCACTAATATTTTGTTCAACTTCTGCTCCTTACACTTCCCTATGCTGTAATTTCAGTTAAAAAACTAACTGGCTCGGAATTCTGCAAAACACCTATCACTTTAGAAGGAAGCAATGTACAGATGAATAACATTACACGACTTAATTTAAATTTACCTCCGTACTTTGATGTGAGGTGAAAATCACAACCATCAACCCATCTTTATGCTTTTACAAACTTCTGCTTACTTACTCGCCATCTTCACTCTAACCTTATCTTCCCCATAATAGCACACCAGGTTCATTAAGGGTAGACATCATTTTATAAAGTATGATCACAGAAAATATCTTTTTAAAATTTTTATTTCTTGACATTATGACTTTTTTGAGAGACAATCTAACAAAACTTCTTAAATCAAATAACGCCTAAAAAAATACCAACAGATCAGTACAAGAGACCAAGATTCGTAAGTTAAAACAAAGACCTTATAGAAATAATGCTGTGCTGCCTGCCAAGTCTTCATCCATCAAGGTGGCAATGACATAACAGCACCTATCAATGTCTAGGTCACTGTGATGAGCCATCGTAAGATAGCTACGCTAACAACACGAACTTACAGGAGGAGCAGTAGCAATAGCTAAGAAGCATGGTGTCATACAAAGTAATTTCAAAAAAGAAAATTAAATATTAGACTACGGACAAAAACATTACGATACCAAAAGGTAAAGTACAGCCATCCCTCAGTAGCCCGGTTTCAAGATCTTCCTAGGATGCTCCATTTCCTTTTATAAAATAGCATGTATCTGTACATTACCTATGCATATCTTCTCCACGTACTTTAAATCATCTCCAGATTATTTCTAATATTTAATACAATATAAAAGCTATGTAAATGGTTGCATACTATACATATTCACTAAAGATGCAAAATTTTTTCAATATGTTTGACATAGTTATTTAAATCCATAGATGCATGTATATGGAGCCTGAGGACACAGAAGGTTGACTATAATTTGAGGAAAAACATATAAATTAAAAACTAAACAATTGGGGCTGGGGATTTAGCTCAGCAGCGCAAGTGCTTGCCTTGGAAGTGTGTGGTTGTGAGTCCAATCCCCAGTACCAAAAAAATAAAATAAACAATAAAAGGGATTTAGCTACCTGAAGTCAAAGAACTCATCCATTCTCTGCCTACATGAAAATATTTCTGGCAAAGACACTATCAGTTGTACGTCATGCCAGACCCATCTTGCTAGCAAAGATCTCAGATTTTAATGTTAAATACCTGAAAAAACACAACAAACATATTATTAAGAATAAAAATAGCTTTCAGGTATTAGTCCTTTGAGAAGTAGCTGGCATAAACTTTTTTTTCCCCATTCCATGAGTTGTCTTTTCACTTTGTTGGTGATTTCTCTTGCTGTGCAAAAGCTTTTTAATAAAATGAGATCCCAGTTGTTCTTTGTGATAGTTCCTGTGCAATCAAGGTTTTGTTCATAAAGTCTTTGCCTATGCAAATGTCTTTCAGAGTTCTACCTATCCTATGTTCCAGCAGATTTAGTATTTAATATTTAGATTGTCTATCCATTTTTATTATAGTTTAGTGCATGGTGATAGATCTTGGTCTAGTTTTAGAGTTCGGCATGTAGAAAGCCAGTTTTTCCAGCAACACTTATTAAAAAGGCTATCTTTCTTCCAGTGAATGTGGGCTCTTTGCCAAAGATCAAATGGCCAGACGATTTTGGAGCTGTTTCTGCATCTGGTAGTCTGTTCCACTGATCCTCAGCTCTGCTTTTTCATCAGTACTATGCTGATTTTTATCACAGTAGCACTGCAGTATAATTTCAAATCAAGGATTGCGGTGTCCCCTGTCTTGTCTTTTTTGCCCAGACATGCTTTTGCTATTCTAAATCTTTTATTTCTAAATGAATTTTAGTATTGTCTTCTCTAGTTCTGTGAGGTATGCTAATGGTATTTTGATTGGGATTGTACTAAATCTGCAAACAGCAATTTTGGGCATATGGCTATTTTCACTATATTGGTTCTTCCTATCCAAGAGTAAGGGATATCTTTCCACTGTCTGCTATCTTCTTTGACCTCTTTTTTTCAGAGTACTGTAGTTTTCAATATAAACATCTTTTACTTCCTTTGTTAGATTGATTCCTATTTTTTTATGCTATTGTGAAGGGTGTTGTTTCCCTAATTTCTTTTTCAGTGAGTTTGCTGTTTGTGTACAAGAATGCTATTGATTTCTGAGTGTTGATTTTGTATCCAGATACTCTACTGAATCTGGTTAACAAATCTCGAAGTCTTTTGGTGGACCTTCTGCAATCTTCTATGAAAGGATCATGAAGAACTGGAATAAAAAAAATTATACACTCCAAATTCAAAGAACCAATCCAAAAATGGGTATCTGACAATATGATGTAAGCTACTGTAAGAGTGTAGACAGTATAGACATTTCTCATAAGAACAAAAATACCAATGGCAAATAAATATATGAAAGAATGTTCAACACATCACTGATCATTCAAGAAATGTGAATTAAAACTACACTGAGATTCCCACTCCAGAAAGAATGGCTATTATCAAGACAACCACTAACAAATGCCGGCAGAGCTATGAGAAAACAGGAACCATTCTCCACGGTTGGTGGGAGTGTAGACTAGTACAACCACTCAAGAAAATCAGTGTGGAGATTCCTCAGAAAACTAGGCTTAGTGGTCTCAGTTGACCCAGCTTATTCCCCTTCTCATATCTTCCCAGAAGAACTAAAAAGCAACATACCACAGTGATACATGCACACCACATTTATAGCAGCACAGCTTGTAATAGCTAAATCTTAGAAGCAACCCAAATGCTCATCAACCAAGGAATGGATATTTTAAAATGTGTTTTTTATAATGGAATATTATTCAGCCATAAAGAAAGATAAAATTGTGACATTTATAGCTATGGATCTTGAAACCATAAATATAAGTGAAATAAATCACACACATATATAAATTTGGCATTATCTCTCTGGCTTGAGAAACTGAAAATGTGAATAAAAACTTAAATGTACAATATATATCGTGAAACAGGGAGAAACTGTTCAAAAGGAAAAGGGAAATGGTGGGGGGGGAGAAAAAAACGAGAAAAGGAAGATAAAATGAAAACCAAGCTTTGTTAAGGGGGGTAGGAGATTGGCAAAGAGGGGATAGGAATGGGGTGGGGAGGAAACAAGATATTTCATGGACAAATACAAATTCCCTCTAATGACTGGAGTCATTATGTATACCTAAACTGTATCAATAAACTTAAATTTTAAAAAATAGCTTCAGGATCATACTTTGAGATCATTGAAATATACACTTTCAGAACTACAAGAATTTTTGTCTTCCAGTACAAAAGCCACTTCTGTGGACAAATGGTAGAAGGACAAGTGATTTTACTTACTTGCTTTCTTATGTAGTAATTTGTGAGTAGCCCAACTTCCTTTAAAACATTCCTAAAAGACCAAACAAGCAAATTAGTGCCAGACTTTCCTTAATTGGAAACATTCTTAAGGAATGTTATATTTAACATAGTGACTGCAAATTATATTTGTAACACCTGAAATTTAAGGGTCTGCAACTTAAATATCTGGAAAAAGCTTAAGAAATGACACCTATTCATTTCAATTCAAAAATAATCTTCACTTCAAATAAGCAAGTAAAATTTGTCTATACATTAAACAGTTACAGTATTTCAATTTTATCTCACCAAATTATAAAGCATGTGAAAAGACCCATTAGCCAATTTATTAATCATACACTGGAAAAAATTACAAGGAAATATTTAAAAATTCTTCCTTTATGCATAGTACATTCCCAATTAGTGACAATATATTAAGTCATTCATCTAACCAGTTAGCATAATTTCTATGTGCCAGCAGTTGTCAGACAGTAAGCCTGGCAAAGGGAGACTGTGTGGAAATTGGCCACTACCGCCCACACCCAAGCCGAGTTCCGAAGTCATGGCAAGGTTTCGGTATTGCTGACTGACTGATCAAAGTGGATAGCTAGAAAGACAGGACTTCTCACTTAGAAAACTGTGTTCATGTAACATATTTAAATTACCAGTAATAAGTAACAAACTGTGAAATTTCAATAATAAATTGAATTCAATTAGGAATTGAAGTAATCAGAAAAATATTCAAGTAGTCATAGATCTTATTTATACTTTGAGTTTTATCACCTTTGTTTCAAAGAGTTCCACTCCTCAAATAAATAACTCAAAATACTAAGAAAACTTACAAATTCCTACAGATTTGTTTGTTTTTGTGGTTTTTTGAGACAAGAGTCTCAATAAGTAACCCAGGCTGGCCTTGAACTCACCAGGAACCTCATATCTGATTTTCCCAAATGCTGGGATTATTAGGTGTGCACCATCATCCCCAGTTTACAAATGTTTAATCTTTGGAAACATACAAGAAGAAACAGATAAGAGAAAATCTAAGGAAAAAACACCCCACAGGAAAAAACATCTCTTAAGATATTAGTAATCAAACTGTATTATAAAAGTGACCTTAAGGCTGCACTACCTTACTGTTCATCCAAGGACCTTTGGACAGTCAGCTTCTTCCTCCTAGGCCAGGATCTTTACTGATTCCCCTTTACTCTCCTGTACTTACTCCAACCTCCCCACATTACAGTTAAGTAAGAAAATGCAAGTCATACCTACACCTTACCATAGTATAACCTACAACCTCAACTGATTTCAAAAGTATAAAAAGGTATCTAAAACATTATAGATCTTTCAGTTTTGAAGTTACAACTCAAAAGTCTGACTTCTGAGCTCAGACTTTTGGGGAAGGTCAAAAGGATGGTCGGCAGAATATTGGCACTTCAAAGACATCCATGTATTTATCTTTTGGAAACTATAAATATGCTATATGACAAGGGAGATTTAAGGTGGTACCACTGAGAAAGATAGATTATTAGCCTGTTTTATTCAGATGGATCAATGGCTCATAAGGGTTCATAAAACGTAGAAGATACAGGCAGAAGTAAAGACACACGTAGTAACAGCAACAAGATCAAAGAGATGTCACATGACTGGACTTGATGATAGAGGAAAGTAGTTATAAATCAAGGAATATGCACAGCCTCTAGAAACTGAGACGGACAAAGAAATGGATCTCCTCTAGGTCCAGATAGGAACACAGATCTATGAACAGTTGTTTTTAGCCCTGACCCCTGTCAAACTTCTAACCCATTAAAATGTAAGAAAATATATTTATGTTGTTTTAAACCACCAAGTTTTGTCATAATTTGTCACAATAGCCACAGAAAACGGAAACAAGAGATAAAAGTAAGAATTTATCCCTGTTGTCAAACTGCAAAAAATGCTCACAACTAGGAAAAAAAAAATCAGTTCTTCCCTACTTCTGTTATAAAAGTCTGGTAGAAAAAGTATTAATGATTCTGCTGCAAAAGAAAGAGAACTAGATCCAACAACTAAAACAGGAAAAAGTGTTTTCAATATTATCACATCTATACAAAAAGACAAGTGTTAAACCACAGTAATAAAGACAACACTAACATTTAACAATTACCAATTACTGAATCTCTGCATTCTTAGTTAATACTCACAAATACCCTATTAGACAAACACCATGATTTTCATTTTATGAATGACAATACTGAAGCACAGATGAGCAATCTGTCACATAACAACAGGACAAGGATTCTGACCCAGTATTACATCACTATGTGTACACACACTGGGATGAGTGTACCCAACTCTTTTCATTACTATCTTCAGGAACAGGCTGCAAACTGTCCAGTCCTTTCACCAGCACCAGCAGGATCTTGCTATATGTCCAACTAAAAACATTCCCCGCCTCCTTGATAGTGACAGTTATGAAACCTAGTCTGGCAAAGTATAAATCCCATTGTTGATTGAGGAATCTAGAAACTTTCTTTTAAAAAAGATAGGCTCCATCAAGAAATCAACCAATGCTGGTAGGGCTATGGGGAAAAAGGAACCCTTCTCCGCTGTTGGTGGGAAAGTAGTCTGGTGCAATCACTGTAGAAATCAGTGTGGAGATTCCTCAAAAGAGTAGGATTAGAGATCTCATTTCACCCAGCTATTCCCCTTCTGGATAACTTCCCAGGAGAATTAAAAACATCACACTACAGCAATATACGTGCAACCATATTTATAGCAGCACAATTTATAATAGCTAAGTCTTAGAAATAACCCAAATACTCATCAACTGAGAAATGGATTAAAAAGATAAGGTATTTTTGTACAATGAAATACTACTCAGCCATAAAGAAGAATGGAACTTCTATAGGTAAATGGATGCAACTTGAGACCATACTCATAAGTGAAATAAATCAGACTCACATGTATAAACATCATATTGTCTCCCTGGTGTAAGCTATTGAAAGAGTAAATAAGGTCTAAAATGTACAATAGATACTGTAAAATGGGAAGAAATTGTTCAAAAGGAAAAAGGAACTATGATGGGTAAAAGGAAAAAGGACAGTAGGAAATGGGAAAAAAAATCAACTCAGTTACATTATCAGTGTTTCTTAGTTCATTAAAAAGGAAGGTTTGTGCCATTATCGATTTGGGGAAATTTTTATACCCTGAGCAACTACTTTAAAGATAACAACATGTAATGTATTAACTATTGTTAGTCTCCTATTGTTCTGTTATAAAATTTTACCTTTTTCCCATAAAATAAAAAAATAAACAAGGTAGGCTCACTTCAAAACCATGTTCTTTTCCTTTCTGCTCCTATTACAACTGATTTATTTAGAGAAAACAGAAGTTTATAAATCAATTTAAATTTAAAAGAGCAACTGCAGAAACCATCAGAGAAGCAAGATAAAAGCACTTAAAATGTTACAAAAAATACGTATCTCTAATTTTTTAATATTACAGGAAAAGAAATCACTGCTTACATTTTACTATGCACAATTTACAGTCCATAACAGGGCAACTCCAAATCTGCATGCTTTTCTAACATATACTCAATTTCTGAATAATAGTTAAAATCTTAGACTTTGATGTCTGATTTTTATCTTTGCTTGGTCACTTATTAGCTAGAGGCAAAAAGCTTGATTAGCTTACCCTTCTTCACCATAAAATAGGGGAAAAAAACCTGTTATGTGTATTCAATGTAGCTCAGTGGTAGAGTACTTGCTTACCATATGTGAAGCCCTGGATTTGATATTCACCATTGCAAAATTAACTACCTAATAATTGGCAACAGAATCCAGCATCTTACAGATGGAAGCAACCATTTAACCACCGAGCTATACTCCCAGCTTTCCATTATATTTAGAAACAATTTAAATTTTCAGTTTGAAAAGATGATACACCTATATACATATTTTCAATGTGTCAATCCTTCCCAAGCTTTTGAACTATGAAAACTTAGGTTCAATCAGAGATGGGTTTACTCACAAGTAAAGGTATAGCAAATAAAAACAGAGGTTTCTGGCCAAAGGACCAAAACAAGGATTTCCAAGAAGCCAGAATGTTTCAAGAAATCCAAATGTCCCCATGAGATTGTTCTGATGCTTATGAGAACAGAACTAATAGACCCAATTTCTGCTTCTGCACTAGGAGAGATCTCAGTAGTTATTGAGAAAGCTTTGAAAGCTGAACTGATATTTGAACCACAGTCCACAGAACTTGGAGGTAAGCAGCCTGCTAAAATGAAACTAACAACACTGCCCAAAGAATTTTTATAAAAATCTGTATCTTATAATACAGTCATGCCTTGGTATTTGGGGATAGTTCCAAAAAGACTTCTACAGATACCAAAATCTGTTGATACTTAAGTCCCTTATAAAATGACACAGCATTTGCATAATCTAAGCACATCTTCACATTTACTTCAAATCATCTCTAAGATTACTATAATAGTTGATAGACTGTATCAACCTGAGAAGTTTAAAAGTTTAAGCAATTCAGCAGGGAGCTGGGTCTTTACTTAAAAACATTCTCAGCCTGTTCAAGAGGAGAGCATAGAGGTGGTATGGGTACTGCATCAGTCTTGAGGGGTTGGCAGCCTGCTTACAATGTTAGGGAGAAAAGATGAAGTGCCCACGCTACTTTGCTCTTGATGCTTTTGCTGTCTTTTGCCGCCCTGAACAGTGCCATTACACAATGCCCTGGAGTCAGCAGGTTACGGTCCGAAACCTCCACAAACTGAGTAATTTTGGGTGTCAGGTATTTTGTCTCAGGATTACTTGTAATTCCTTTTAAAATAATGCTACATAAATACATGTTACCTTGTATAAATAGATGTTATTGCCTGGAAGGTAATAAGACAGAAAAGGGGGGGCTGGGGATTTAGCTCAGCGGCATAACTCAGGCAGTCGTGAGTTCGATCCCCAGTACGGATAAAAAGGAAAAGGACAAAAAAAAAAAACAAAAAAAAAAAAGACAGAAAAAGGCTGCAGATGTTCAATACAGACATAAAAATCATGGTCCTAAATGCATGAT